CCATGGTCCAAAACACTGATCTGTTACCTGACCAAGAAGTGGAGCTTCTGCCAGTGGGAGGACAGAAGATTCCTGTACCTTTAGCCAAAGTGTATGTGGAACGGGGTAGTATCCCCGTTGAAATGCTTGTTGGGAATGATATTTTGCACATGGCTAAGGCTAGTCATGTGGTAACCCACAGCAAAAGGGCATATTGTATTCGGATCCCAGAGGGGAGTGGTAAAGTTCCAGAGACTTCTGTGGGGGTGGGGTGGGGTGGAAGGGGAGGTCTCTCAAACTCCTCTGCGGAAGAAGGAAGCAGTGTGTTTCTAGGTGTGGGAGGGGCTGAGGCTGGTTCCTGCATGGCAGAGAACAGCAGCAAAATCTATGAGTCTATGCCAGTGTTACCATTTGGGTTAATTAATGCAGAAGCCACTTTGCAGAGACTGGTCAACCAAGTGTTAAACGGTTTGCAGAGCTTTGCAAGGCCGTATGTGGATAACATCGCAATGTTTACAACACTTGTGCTGTCAAAGGTTCAAAGCAGCAGGACCAGTCATAAAAGCCTGTGAAATTGGAGCAGCCAGAGTTCTGTATGTGGGACCCTGGGTAGGGGGAGATCAAATATCCCCTGATCCCTTAAAAGTTGAAGTCATTGTAAATTGACCTGTACCTCACACCAAAAAACAGGTCCAATCTTCCATAGGTCTGGTAAACCATTCCAGAAGGTCAGTGCGTGGGTTCAGTGACATTGTATCTGCAATCACGGATCTAGTTAAAAAGACAAAGCCTGACCTGCCACCAGTGGCTAACCTACTGCAGCTTTGAAAGGGGGGAGGTGTGACGAAATACACCCCTGTGTTCACACCCGACACACTGTTGTAATAATCTTTGTACAAAGAATGTCTTGTGAGGTAGCATTTGAAAACACAGAATTTGCTGGTCAGAATTGTTGTGCAAAATACACATGGCAACATCGTATGTAAAGTTATAAGTAAGGCTAAGATTTAGTCAGGGTATTTTTAGTAAATGTCATGAACAGGTCATGGGAAATAAGCAAAAATTCACAGCCTGTGACATGTCCATGACTTTTACTATAAATACCCCTGGCTAAATCTTCGTTGCTCCTAAGGTGCTGTTGCTCTGGGAGGCCCCTGGGCACTGCTGCTCTGGGGGCCCCTAAGAGCTGATGGCTGGCCCCTGCTCTGGTGGCAGGAACGAACTGTCTGGCTACATACTGACCTGAGGCCCCTGGGGACTGCTCTCCAACAGCCTCCGGGGCTGCCCACCAGCTGCTGTTCAGCACGCCCCCAGGGCGGCCCCTGGAACCACTGCTGCTCCGGCCATCCCCTGGACGGCCCCCGAGACCGCTTAGCTATTTTAGGCCTTGGAGCTAAGAAATGCTGACATTAGTAAGTAACTGAATCATAGAATCATAGAATATCAGGGTTGGAAGGGACCTCAGGAGGTCGTCTAGTCCAACCCCCTGCTCAAAGCAGGACCAATCCCCAACTAAATCATCCCAGCCAGGGCTTTGTCAAGCCTGACCTTAGAAACTTCTAAGGAAGGTGATTCCACCACCTCCCTAGGTAACTCATTCCAGTGCTTCATCACCCTCCTAGTGAAAAAGTTTTTCCTAATATCCAACCTAGACCTCCCCCACTGCAACTTGAGACCATTACTCCTTGTTCTGTCATCAGGTACCACTGAGAACAGTCTAGATTCTACGACCTCTGTGACAGACTCTCAGTCTTAGTGATAAGATTCCCCTGTCTGGTGTTATTAACCCATGTTCCAAACTCCACAGCCCTGCTCAGGCAGAAGTCGGCAAACAGGCCTGTCCTACACAAAGGAATGAGTGCTTGAGCATTTAAGCACTAAACAGATTTATCAAGCAGGGAGAGAAATGAACAGGTGAGGAGAAGCCAGCCGGGAACATCCTGTCACATCAACTCTTTGTCTCCTAGTGCCCAGCTGGAAATGTTTTTCAAGAGGGGGACTGAAACTATAAAAAGGAGAGACAAACAACCCAGGAGACCCCCCTGTCTCTCCCTGCCCATTGCAATCACTGCACCTGCAATGACAAAGAAAGCATTCGTTGGACTCTGGGGCAGGGGTCCTGACCTACAGGGTTTGGTCAGTACGACTGCTGAAAGCATGTGGAGAGAAACGTTGCCTGAATTTGATGGAGTTGGTTAGGTTAGGCATTAGTGAACGTCTTGTCTTTATTTTTCTTGTAACCATTTCTGACTTTTATGCCTCATGACTTGTACTCACTTAAAATCTCTCTCGTAGTTAATACTGTTGTTTTACTGTTTTATCGACTCCAGTGTGCTTAAATTGAAGTGTCTGAACAACTATTTGAGATGATAAACTGGCATATTCTGCCCTTTCAGGAATAATGGACTTAATATATTTGAACTGTCCAGGAGAGCAACACAGGACGTACATTTCTGGGGGATATCTGAGACAGTGGGTGTGTTGGGGTCACCCTGCAGTATAACCCAGGCTGGTGAGAGCCAGCATGTAACCCAAGTGTGGCTGGCAGGCTGCAGTCACAGACACTCAGGCTGTGGCTTGCATGCTGGACGGCTGTTTGAGAGTGGCCCAGGTGGGAGCTGCTTCAGCAAAGCATAGCCTTGCAGGCAGGGGTCACACAGTCCCCCATTGGTCTGGACTGTGCCCTGGTATGTCACAGGTGGACCCTGCTGCCATGCAGTGCAGGGAGGGGGGCGCTGCCGTCCCTGCTGGGGTTGGGGAGGAAACTCCCAAGACTGTCTGAGCTCAGCCAGTGCCTGATTGGGCTTCCCTCCGCACCTAGACGGAAAGGTCTGTGTGTTCCCTATGGGGTCCAACGATGCATGTATCATCCAGTCGCCAAGGCTGGAGCAGAGCTTCACCATGTGCCTGAGATCCTTCAGCCAGCTGGCCCAGCCCTACGGCCTCTTCTCCTATGCCACCAGGGACACAATGACGAGATCCTGCTCTGCTGGGAGAGCCCCGTCGAGTATCAGATGTACATGGGCGGGGAGCCCCTGACATTCAGTGTCCCATTGAGCAGCTGCAGCGCCCAGTGGGAATCCAGCTGCCTGACCTGGGACTTGCCCACGGGGCTGGTGCAGTGGCGATGAACAGGCCAGACTTAGGCAGGAAGGGTGCTGCCGAGGGCTGAGCTGGTGATCATCCTGGGGAAGGACCAGGACTCCTCCGGGGGCTCATTGGATGCTGATCAGGAGTTTGTTGGAGAGATAGCGGAGGTGAACGTGTGGCACTATGTGCGGTTGCCTGAGCAGATGGGGCAGCTGCACAAGGAGAAGCTCCCCAGCCCCAGGCCGGACAGGACAGCCCTGAGTTATCAGCTCCAGGCTAGGGGCTGACAGAGCCCACGGGCAGCCAGCAGCCAGGAACCTGGCATGGGGAGCAGTAGGAGGGCCCTGAGAGATGGAGGGAGCCACCCAGCTGCTGAGCCCTGGACGCTGGGAGCAGGGGAGACACTTTTCACAAGTGACTTGGGATTTTGGGTGTCTCAGTTTGTGGGACACCTGGAAGGGCCCAGCTCCAGAGGGGGCTGAGCAACCTGCTGCCAAGAGCTGGCCCTTCCAGGGGCCCCAAATCACTCGTCGCTTCTGAAAACTTTGGCCCTTGTCTGGCAAGGGGATGGAGGGAACGGTCTGCTGGGAAAGGACAGGAGTCTCCCATGCGGAGGCCGCGAGCTCCCCAGGAGGATGAGGAGATGGCTGGGGATGGGCCCTCAGCACAGCTAATGCACCGATCCCTCTGCTGCACTGACCCCATGCCGCTACCCCTCCACTGCTGCACTCGTCACCACACAGAATGCTGGGCCCAACCGGCTGCTGGCCGTAGTAGCTCACGGTGAAGCCCTGCAATCCTGCCCCACCCCGGCCTTTCCCATTCCCGCTGCCAAAGCAGGGCGGGAGCCTGAGCCAGGGGCACGTTCATCTCTGTGCTGAGAGCTGCCTGGACACTGAGCAGAACCAGAGCCCAGCCCCGGGACCCCGAGATACTGATGCCCCAATGTCCCGACAGGTGCAGGCAAAGCCCTTCCCAGGGCCGCTGCCTCCTGCCATGGGGACTAGTGCTCACTTTGGGCCGCAGCCCTTGAGAATAGCAGGGTTGAGCTGGGTGAGATCCGCTTCCACCCGTCTCCTGACAGAGCCAGCCAAGGAGCTCCAGCCAAGCCCCCCCTGCACCTGGCCCGACCGCCCCTTGGTGCTGCTGTGAACACCTTGTCAGCACCAGCACAGACCCTCCCTCCAGCACTGATGTCACCTGCCAGGGGCATGACATCACTTGCCAGCCCTGGGACCCGGAACTGCTGCTTCCCAGAATGCATCAGCCAGGGAAGCGGCTGATGGGTTAGAAGCCACTGCGGTCTCCTGGCACCCAGCAGACTAGTCTGGTGGGGTTGTGGGGAGAGGGTGTTTCTGACCCTGGACGAGGGCCCTGCTGCGCCTGTACCCAGCACATAGTGTAACAAGGAGCCGTGCTGGGCAGGGCCATGGTGCCGTGGGGGTGATGGACACAGAGAGCATGTGAGCAGCCCATCTCCCCTTTACCTGACCTGGCTCTATTATGGCGGGTGGGGTTCCCTGTGGGCTGAGCCTCCCCTCCATCCCCCTCAAAAGCTGCTGTCCTGGAGACCATCCCATAGCCACGGTAGGCTGGAGGGTGCTGTGGCTGGATGCTTTGCCAGCAGCTGTGAGAGCTCTGGCCCCGGGGCCAGCACTGCAGCCACGGCTGTGCCAGATGCCCTGCATGGCTGCATGTGGCTGGCCGAGCCCTTTCCTCCCCCTCCCCCCCCCCCACCGGGAACAGCCTGTCCCTTCTCGGGAGAAGCTGTTGAAAGTGCGGCTGGTTCCCTGTGTGCAGCTCTAATGAGTAACTGCCATCGATCGCCAGCCTCCCAGACCCACCCCCTGCATCGGCAACTCTGACTGCACCCGACCTGCAAATACTGGAATATTGTTTACACATCACCACTGGGGATATAAATTAGGGCTGGTCCCTCTGGTCCATGCACTTGGGGACTGGCATTGCCTGGGGGCAGGTTTCAGGGCAGAGCAGTCCAAGACCTTCCACCTCCCTTCTCCGCGTTCCTGCCCCTCTGGGTTGCTCTGCAGGTGAAGAACATGGAGAAGCTGCAGTTTTGGCTCCTCGTCCTCGCTGGCTTCTCAGGAGCCGTCGCCCAGACAGGTAGGGGTAGAGCAAAAGGCTGAAGGAACTGGGTATGTTTAGTTTGGAAAAGAGGAGATTAAGAGGGAGTATGATAGTGGTCTTCAACTACTTGAAAGGCTGCCATAAAAAAGATGAAGTTGTTCTTTCTTGCCACAGAGGCCAGGACAAGAGGCAAAGGGTTCAAACTACAGCATAGCAGATTTAGATAAAAAACTTCCTAACGGTAAGAACAGTAGGACAATGGAGCAGATAGTTAGGGAGGTCGTGGAAGCTCCTTCACTGGAGGTTTTCAAAAGGAGGCTGGAGCCATCTGTCTTGGATGGTTTAGCCACAACAAATCCTGCACCTTGGCAGGGGTTAGACTAGATGACCCTGGTGGGTCCCTTCTAACCCCATGGGTCTATGATTCTATGGAGGATGCTTCCAAACCCTCTTCCTGGCTTGCTTGTCGAGTGCGTGGGGAGGGGACGAGCCGGGCTGGGTACTGGGACCCTCACTCACTCAAGCCCCTCTGCTGCAGTGGGCCTGGGTGCTGGGGGAAGCTATGAGCTGTCTCTGCAGTGACAGAATTCCCAGGTTCTTGGCTCAGCAGCTCCTGGCACTGAGAATTGCCCCCACACAGCAGCTGCAGAGAAACAGGGGAGAGAGGAAAACGAGGGAGGGAGAAAGGAGGTTGGGGGAGGACAGGGCTCCATGGGGCATCGGCCAAAGCACCCACCTCCCAGCGCTAAGTCTCATTGCCAGATCTACTGCACAGCCCGAGACAGAGGTGCCTGGGCAGAGCTGTGGGTGGGAGGAGGCCAGGGCTGGGATAGCAGGGGGCTGCGGGTCGGGATTGAGGGGCATCGGCAGAGCTGTGTATAGGGCCCTTTGCAGAGCAAGAGCAGGGGCCTGTGGATTGTGGCTGGTGGCCCTGGGCAGATGTGAGCGCGTGCGTGGCTGGGAAGGGGTGTGAATGTCCAGGGGTGGGAATATCAGTTTTTCTGCAGGCCAGGGCTGGGGGGCAGCCCAGACTGGAAGGGCAGCAGGTACCGAGATCAGGGTCCCATCTCTGGGCACAGCGTGAGAGGGAAGCTCGCCCTCTGTCAGCCCAGCCTGTCCCTCGCCGGCCAGGACTGAGCCTCCTGTCTGAGAACCTGGCCCAGGTTCCATCCAGCCGGCACAGGACCAGCTCCTCAATTGGTACAAATCAGCAGAGCTATGGTGACGTGACTCATTGCGCCTCTGCAGCTCTGGCCCCACATGTATGAGAGGCTGAAATTTCCTGCTCCCGAGCGCCCAGGGACACAAGCAGCAGCTCCCTTTCAGGGAGCAAACAGCATCACCCCTCATAGGGCACGTTTCACCAGGGGATCCGCAAGCACCATGCAGATGGGCAGGGATGCACTCACTGATGGCCCCCTCCCCCAGCAGGCAGCCATCAGGGGGCGGGACCCAGTGGCTGTTTGTGCACCCCCTGCCTGAACTGCCCCCCAGCACTCTGCACCTCCTCATAGAATCATAGAATATCAGGGTTGGAAGGGACCTCAGGAGGTCATTTAGTCCAACCCCCTGCTCAAAGCAGGACCAATCCCCAGGCAGATTTTTGCCCCAGATCCCTAAATGGCCCCCTCAAGGATTGAACTCACAACCCTGGGTTTAGCAGGCCAATGCTCAAACCACTGAGCTATCCCTCCCCCCCAGCTGCACCCCTGCCCGAATCATCCCCAGCACTCCCCAACCAAACTGTACCCAGCACCCCCCCCAAATCCCCGCCACAGTACCCTCCATCCCCCTGCCTGAATCACCTCCTGGGGTCCACCCCATGCCCCAATCCCCCCCCAGCTCTGTGCTGGGCTTGGTGGGGAGCGCTCTGCTCCTGAGTCGCTAGCCCACTTCCTGCGGGGCTGGCAGGGCAGCCAGGCCTCCTGCTTGCCCAGCCCTGGGGCAGTGATGGGGCAGGTCAGGACAAGAGCCAGGCCGTGATGCTGGCACACAACCCAGCCTCACTGGCCGCCTGTGTCTCCCTGGCAGATCTACACGGCAAAGTGTTCGTGTTCCCTAAGGCGTCTGCAACTGCCCACGTCATCCTGAAGCCGAGGCTGGAGCAGCCGCTGCAGAACGTCAGTGTGTGTCTGAGATTCGGGTGCGACCTGACCCGGCCCTACAGCCTCTTCTCCTACGCCACCAAGGCCAAGGACAACGACTTCCTCCTCTTCAAACCCAAGCCCGGGGAGCTCAGACTGTATGTCGGAGCCGAACTCGTCACCTTCAAAGTCCCAGAAAGAACAGACACAAGCACTGGGTGGGTGCACGTCTGTGCCAGCTGGGAGTCCGCCACCGGCATAGCCGAGCTCTGGGTGAACGGGAGCCCCTTACCCAGGAAGGGGCTGAAGAAAGGCTACTCTGTCAGCAACCAGGGTGTGCTTGTCCTGGGGCAGGAGCAGGACACCCTGGGGGGTTGGTTCGACATGAATCAGTCGTTTGTTGGGGAAATCACAGATGTGTACATGTGGGACACTCTGCTCTCCCCGGATGAAGTTAGCCTTGCCATGAGCAATGGGGTCCTGCCTCATCTCGTCCTTGACTGGAGAACCCTGAGCTACGAGACCAAGGATTATGTTGTCATTAAACCCAGCCTGCTCCCAGTGTACTGAAGGCCCAGCGCTGCTTGGCTAGTGGGGCCAGAAAATGGGTGGGGGCGCAAAGCAAGGAATTGCCTGTATCACTGTGTCAAGTATCGGGGGTAGCCGTGTTAGTCTGTATCTACAAAAACAGCAAGGAGTCTGGTGGCATCTTAAAGACTAACAGATTTATTTGGGCATATGTAATCGACCTGTTCGGCCTGCGATGGGAAAGAGGCAGATGCGCTCCGGAGATCTGCACATGGGCCTGGGACCAGGGAGCTCCTCTCGTCCATCTCCAGCTCTGACCCCAACTCCCACTGGGACCTTGGGGAATCACATGGGCCAGATGTACGAGGGTGCTCACCCTGTAACAGGGCCAGCCACCCCCGAGCACCCCCTTGGGATCAGGGGTGGCTATGCAGTGCCCTGTCTCAGTTTCCGCTCTTGGATTCTAAATAGCTCCCCAAAAGCCTTTCATGAGTCCAATTACAAACAGCCCTTTTTGGGGTCTTGTTTATGGCCTTAAAATGCCAAAGGATTCAAAGAGCCGCCCCCCCAGCTTAGCCTATGAGCAGACCTCTCTACCTGCCTTGTCTAGCGCCCCACGGCTCCAAGGGGTCTGCAGGCAAAGCCCTTTGCTGGCCCCCCAGCCTCCCCATCTCTCTCAGGGTCCCTGCAGCACACCCTCTGCAGCATCTTTGCACCATTTCCGACTGCGATCAGCCCTCCTTCCTGAGGGGGCTGTTCACTGCTGCAGCTCTGCCTGGCTCCCTGCCACTGCCCATGCCCCCCCCCCCCCCGCCGTCTCTAACCCCCTCTAACCAGGTTAGTCACATGGCTCCTCTCCCCTGGAAATGGCCGTGTCACAGGCTGTGGCCATCTCCCTCGAGGGGCAGCCACCCTGAGGCACACACCTGTGTTGAGCTTTTGAGCACTCACCCTTCCCTCCGGTGAGGTGCTGATGGCAGCACTTGCCTCCCGAGGAGTTGGGAGGCAGGACCTGGGAAGAACTGCTTTGTGAACGGTGCCCAAGGGGTTCAAGCACCCGAGCCCCACTCAGTTTGTGCCCAGATTGTGCCCAGCCAGAGTCTGTGATGTGCTTGGAGCACGGCAGTGCTGGGAGTGCCAGGGGCCTTCATGGTCACCATAAGCAGAGCCTTCCAGAGCAGACCAGCTCTGTGTGTCCAGCCTGATAAGTTCCTGGGTTGGCTCAGTCGCTGGAGATGTTTCCCAGCCTGTGTACGTCAGTGTCTACATTGCTGCTGGGTGGGCCAGGGGGCATTCCAGGTACTAGGCCCAAGGAGCCCCACGGTTACCCTGCTGCCTCTCCACTGGGCTGCCTAGGGCTGAGTTTGGAATGACTGTGGTCATCTGTGTTCTAAGAGACGGTGCCATTGTCCCAGGGGCTTGGCGCCCTGCCAGCCCCAGTAAATGACCCTTTAGGCTGAGCTGTGCGCGTGGTTATTGCTGACCTGCAGGGCCCAGCGACACGGGTGCTGTGGTCAGACCTCTTCTAACACCTGTTAGTGCCCAGACTGGGAGAGAACAGGTGGGCAGGGGCTCGTGGCGCCAGGCCTTGTGCAGGTGGCTAAAGGGGGATCTGAACAGTTATCCACGCTGTTTCTTTGGTTGCCAGGTGCCCGCTTTACAACCAGAAAGTCCGGTCGAAAGGGGACCTGACAATGTCCGGTCAGATGTACTGAGCGGACATCAAAAGGGCAGTTACCGCGGGGTGGGGGGAGGCACCGGGTCATTAAACCATGCCAGCCCCTACTCAACCAGGCCCGCATCCTACCTGTAGGTAGGCTCCTTGTCAGACTGCAGCAGGTCCTGCAGCCCCAGAGCAGAGGGAGCCCAGCTGGTGGGGGGAGGGAGGTGGAGATGATCCAGTGAGGGGAATAGGGGGAGAGAGGAGCAATTGACTGGGGTGGGGCCGTGGGGGGAAGAGGTGGACAAGGAGACTGGGCCTCATGATAAGAGGTGGAGCAGGGGCGGCGCCTTGGGGGAAGAGATGGGGTAGGGGGCAGGGACTTGGGGGTCTGGTTACCAGCAATCCAAAAGATGGCAACCCTCCCTGTTTCTGAGAGCTACAATGCATCGGTGTGCAGGAGAGACTGATTCCCCAAAACACCCTGTCTGTGTCTACTGCTCTTCACACAACACAAAGAAAATGGAGAAACCACATGGGTACTCTTGGGTCGGCCTTACGTTGCACACGTGCGCGCACACACACACTAAGCTCAAGGCCTCCTATCCCCTCCAGGGGAAGGCAGACATAAGTCGCTCCCCTTTCTCAGAGGTGCTAGCTGAGTGACTGCACAGAACACATCAGGGACCAGACCCCGGTTCTAACCCTGAAGACTCCCGTCTCATCCCTGTGGGGACTGCCTTAGGCCAGAGCTAGCTGAAAAATGGAATTCCTGTCCTGATAGGAATGGTGACACCTTGAAAGGTAATTTTGTCCCAGATCAGGAGGAAAATTCAAAATCTCAGAAAATTTTGCAGAACAAAATATTTTGATTTGGACCCATCAGAATGACCTTATCAGAATGTTTTATAGTGACAGTGTCAAACTACTATAATGTAAGCAGGGTCTGAATGAGCTCTCCCCCGACATCTAGTGATGAGCTGTGGAAGAGGACTTCAGGAACTGATCTCATTTGCATGGGCACACCCACCCTGCCTAGGTGCTCAGCATGATGGGATTGCTTTCCCAAATGATCACTTTTGGCTGGTGTTGGATCCCCAGGCTCCTTGTTACTGGGGGCAGGGGCACTAAAGGGTTGTTATCATTGTTGTGTGCATCAGGGGCAGCAGAACTGTGCTTGGCATGGCGTGATTGAGGGTCTCACCCTCAACTAGTGGCACTTACTGGGCAGGGGACATGGGTTCCAAAGATCAGTAGTGGTGGTGACTATGAGTAAGTTTATTTGGTGGGGTGACTGTAGGGTGCTAGAGATGCTCTGATCCATCCATCCATCCGTCCGTCTGTCCTTCCACCCACCCAGCCACCACTGTGTAATAAAAGAGCTAATTTAGACTCAATTGAAAGTTTTGTTACATACTGGGGAGTTGAAATCAGTGATACCTAGGTCTGAGTGTTAGATCTGCTTTGGGACAGTGTTTCTGGTGTAAGAGACTGTCCAGTATGTACCAGCAGTGAGGCTCCCATACTAACAATTAGAATCACTGAGAGCTGTGTTAAGTGGTGGGACTTGAAGGCATCCTGGCAGGTTGACAATCAGCTGGCATGATGATCAGTGGAGAGGTGTGTCAATCAGCTGGCGAGGCAGCTGCTGGAGAGGCCTGGAGTGCAGCACCACAGAGCAGTGTGGTGATCGGCCAGCAGGGTGGCTGGCGGAGAGATGTGGAGCACCAGTTGGCCAGCAGGGTGGCTGCCGAAGAGGAGCAGAGTGCTGATCGGCAGGCAAGGCGGCCGGCAAAGAGGAGCTGCGAGCAAGTGCCTGGGCAGCAGAGTGAGTAAGGTGCCAGGGTGGGCGGTGAACTCCGCAGATGCATCTCTGAACTCTGGGTCTGCACTGACCAAGGACAGCAACTGTGAGTGGGGTGCAGAGGAGGGATGGGCATGTTAAATGGACTTTTGGTTGCTGGACTTAAGAACCTGAGGGGAAAAGGACACTGCCCAACTTACTTGGAGGGGTGGGTGTTATGTTCATGGTTTATGTTTATGAACCCCAGTTGAGGTGTTTTCCCAAATCAATGCTGAGTTACTTCCCTTCTTTTATTAAAAGTTTCTTTGCTACTCTCAGACTCTGCTTGCGAGAGGGGAAGTATTGCCTCTTAGAGGTGCCCAGGGGGTGGTGTGTAATAGTCCCAGATCACTGGGTGAGGGCTCGAGCCAGTTTTGTGTTGAATTGTTGAAAAGGAACCCCTAAATACTGAACCCAGCCCTTTTTGCTGCCAATGCTGACTGTCAGAAGGGTTACAGTAATATAATATCAAAATAATGAATAATCTATTAATAATACTGTGACGGGTTGGGTCACAGAACCTCCCTTGGGAACTGCCAACTGATGTGCCAAGACTACTTCTGCCCCTGCTTTCCCTGCCAGCCTAGGACCCCAGCACCCTGTCTTGTTGAGCCAGACACACCAGCACAGACCCAGGGTCTGAACCACGCGCCCCACTGCTGCAGATTTAGCTGAAAGCAACTTAAGAAGTGTTCCTGTCTTTAACACTCAGATGCCCAACTCCCAATGGGGTCCAAACCCCAAATAAATCCGTTTTACCCTGTATAAAGCTTATGCGGGGTAAACTCATAAATTGTTCGCCCTCTATAACACTGATAGAGAGATATGCACAGCTGTTTCCCCCCCCCCCCCGGTATTAATACATACTCTGGGTTAATTAATAAGTAAAAAGTGATTTTATTAAATACGGAAAGTAGGATTTAAGTGGTTCCAAGTAGTAATAGACAGAACAAAGTGAATTACCAAGTAAAATAAAATAGAACACACAAGTCTATGTCTAAGAAAACTGAATACAGATAAAACCTCACCAGTTCCAGTAAGCTTCCTTTTACAGACTAGTCTCCTGCTAGTCTGGGTCCAGCAATCACTCACACCCCTGTAGTTACTGTCCTTTGTTCCAGTTTCTTTCAGGTATCCTTGGGGGTGGAGAGGCTCTCTCTTTAGCCAGCTGAAGACCAAATGGAGGGGTCTCCCAGGGGTTTAAGTAGACTTTCTTTTCTGGGTGGAGACCCCATCCTCTCCCCTATGCAAAGTCCAGCTCCAAGATGGAGTTTTGGAGTCACATGGGCAAGTCACTGCTTACCTGTTGCCTTGAACGTCCTCATGTAGACTTCTTATGTGGATTGGAGCCTCCCAAGATCCATTGTATCTTAAGTGCTTCTTGATTGGGCACTTAATTTGCACATTCCTTTCTCAAGAAGCTGACCAAATGCTTTACAAAGACTACTTAAAAATCAAGCCAGTGCCCAGCCAATATTCATAACTTCAAATACAAAAATGATACATGCATACAAATAGGATTAATAGATTCAGTAGATCATAACCTTTACAGAGAGATGTTACATGACATATGTAGCATAAAACATATTCCAGTTATATCATATACACATTCATAAGCATATTTCCATAAAGCCTTGTGGGGTACACCGTCACAAATACAATACAATATAAAAGTAAATTGAAATGAAAAAGTCAAACTGAGCTAAACTATTTCATGTTGATTTTTAATCTTTTTAGAAATGTTTCCCTCAGATGTTTTGTTAAAATTGACATGTTCCCGCCAAACTCGACAATTTCGACTAAACAGCCCTTCCTGATGGAAAACTGATCAACGAGTTCTCCATTTGGCATGACTATGCCAGATCTCTGTTTGGCTGTCCTGCCTGTAGCACCTGCTCTACCCACTTCCAGAGCGGGGAAGTGAACCCAGGGGTTACCATGTGCTTCTGCTGTCTAGCCAGAGGTGAAAGTGGGCCGGTACGGGCCAGTACGGTATACTGGTAAGAAGTGGCTGCTGGTACCGGCCCGTACATAGCCCATGTTAAAGTGCTGCCATGGCAGTGCTTTAACATCGCTCCCCTTTACCCCCCCCCCAGTGCCGCCACTGCTGGGGCTCCCAGCTGCCACTGCTCCCATGGCAGCTGCTGGAGCCACAGGCCCTTTAAATCGCCACCAGAGCCCCAGGCGGCATGGGCCGGGCAACGTGGAAGGGCTGGGTGGGGGAGGCTGACCCAGCCCCGCCCCGCCCCTTCCGCCCAAGACCCCGCCCCTTCCGGGGGCCCAGAGCCGGGCCCCCATACTGGTAAGTATTTTATTTTACTTTCACCCCTGTGTCTAGCCAAGAATGTGTCACCCACTGCCAAAGCTCATGGCATGTGGATCTGAAAGTCCTGTGTTCAAATCCTGCTGCTGACCCACAGGCTTGTCGTTACAGATCCCTGTGGAGGAGTGGGAATGGGGAATCCTGGAATGGAGGGAGGGGAGAATAGAGGAGTCCACACAGATCCCGGTGTGGGGAACCCTGGTAAGGGGGGGAAGAGGGGCACACAGAGACCCTGGCATGGGGGGAAGGTGAGAATGGGGAGGCACACAGAGCCCCTGGCATGGGGGAAAGGGGACTGGGGGGCACACAGAATCTTTGGCATGGGGGGAAGGGGGATGGAGGGGCTCACAGAGCCTCTGGCATGGGGGGAAGGGGAATGGGGGGCACACAGAGCCCCTGGCATGGGGGGAAGTGGGGGGTGGGATGCAATTAATGCTGGTGGCAGGGGGAGCAATGGGGGGAAAGAGAGGTGACACAGCTTCTGGCAGGGGAAGGAGATTGGGGGACCTGGTATGGGAGGAGGGGCTGGGGGCCACACAGAGCCCCTGGTATGAGAGAGCTGCACGGCGTCCCTGCGATAGAGAGGGCTGGGAAGGTGGCACGTGGGGAAATGGAGGGATGCCAGAAGCCCTGG